ATCATTAAAAGCAATATTTTGAAATTGAACTAAAAAGATCAAACCTGTGGTGTTAGCGTCGGTGATCCAGTGCTGCTTTGATTAAGGAAGGGGCTTTTAATTCTTCTTCGTTACTTTTTCTTCTTATCTTAACCTGTCACATGTTGTTGAACTGGAGTCGGGAAAATAGCTTTTCACATTAATCAATTTTAATTAGTTTAAATCTGCCTACTGCGTGCACCTGCAATGTGTTGATTTTTGTCGATTCAGATCTTAGAAGATTTTACCAAAATGAACCCGATCCACTGACTTGCACTGCTGTCAAAGTGTGTACACGAGACACTGGTAATTTTCCTTCCTAATATTTGAGTGTGGTATAATATATTGTTTCCTTTTGTTTCCCCAGTGTTATGTTTTGTTGTGAGTATAGCATATTTGACTCATCACTGTAATTTTCTGTTTAAAAAGAACAAAACTTCATTCTTTGTCACTCTGAGTATAAAGGGACAAAATAAAATCATGGAGGGGGAAGAAAGTCCCGAGCTTCAGGTACATTAACTACAGACCAACTGAGTGTGTAATCTGTAATTTTTAAAGTAATCTTGACACTTGACTCTGGCAGAATGTTTAAATGTTTCTGGCAAAAAAAAATCAAAAGTACAAACCAAAGTAGTAAGTGAGAGGCTACACAGAAGTAGTTTGCAAAATTTAAAGGGGACCTTTTATGCTCTAAATTTTTACTTTTGCCTCTCCCTTTATGGCCGCTGTCTCATTAAGCACACTATCTTCTGACTGGCTGACTCTCATAAATGGAAGATTTGAACAGTGTGTCGGCCAGACCTGTTTAAATGACCTAACCATATTAGGGCAATCCACTTCTGACATTATACATAATTAAGAGAACAGGGTGTATCAAAAGAGTCATCTGATTTCCAAAAGCTATATTTTTAAAAGTAAAGGACATGAAGAAAATTAAATCTTTAAAGTGCATGGCTGAATGTAAAATTGATCACACAATGCTCACAACTGCTCAATGCATCCCTACACCTGACACATACTTTATATCCATAAGAAAGTCAAACTTGAGCCCTACTTTTGTGGGTATGTCTGCAGTCTCTGCAGCCACTGTTGTTGTTATGCTACCAACCAGGAACCAAGTGAAACTCACGAATGCCCTCTTTCTAAATGGTACATGTTTAGATTGTTTCCTGTGAACATTGAATGAAAGCACTTTAAAATGGGATTATTCTTTTTGATACATCCTGTACAATAGCATTGTGCATTTGTAACATTTAGAGCACTGACGTTTTTGGCTCATAGTGATTACCTGCACAGATGGCCTCGTTATTTGCAACACACGCATATAAAAGCATAAAAGATCCCCTTTAACATAGACCGTACGTGGAGGCTGAATGGATGTACCATAAGACCTGGATTGGGGCTTTGTCTCTCTTTAATGCTGCACTGTTTAGCCACCACTGTCAGTGGCTTGATTGATACTTAAACTCACCCACAAAACAGCAAATCATTTTTATAAAAGTTGGTATCCATTTAAGGACGAACAACGAATAAACCTACTCATTTTATGGTGAATGTATTTGTATCTCTTTGTTGCACAACTGAGTTTTACTTTCTTCAAAAAAATAAATAAAGTAGATTTAAAAAGAGCAATTTGAAGTAGCTGGCTGAAACATAACCTAGCATTTTTACTATGTGCATGGAGAAATTGATGATAGTGATGGCTTCACAGTATTTTTTTTTTTTTCCTTGAATGGTTGCTCCCAGCAATCCGCAGGCGGCATTCTTTCTAGCTCTCTAATATTGCAGCAACCGACTCTTCAGATCTCAATCGTCTTGCGTGTGACTAAATTCAGGACGGGTTAATTTCTCCAACCAATCAAAAATCGCCTTGGTGTCTTGAGGCCGACCACCAAGTTTACTGCTGTGTGTTTTCAAACACAGCTGTGATTCAGCTTCCCGCCAGTTCATGAATATGTTACTCACTTGCTGTTCTAAACACGATGTGCCTGACGTTGGCTTGGTTTTTAAAACAAAAAACAAAAAACCTTTGAACAGGAAGTGATGCATTGTGCAGTTTTATTTTTGAAGAAGGTGGAAGAGGATTTGTGTAGCTGACTGTGACGGGCAGAATAGGCAGACAGTCAAAGAGAACAGTGTGACACATAAGGGTTCAGCTCAAAACTATGTCAACACTACATGCTTGTTCAGTTCAAAAGACTGGCTCATCACCTACAGATATTGAACAAATGCATACTACCTGAACAGTGTATACTTAACCTGTTTGATCACCTGTCAATCAAACTGCTTGCACTGGCAGCTGACCTGTGAGTGAACCACACGGATGATGGCTTATCAAAACCTACAAAAGTTTTTATAACCACAAAAGGAGTGGAAAGCCAGTTAACTGAACAGTGAGACTTCCTATTGATAAGAAAAATACAACTTGTATATCTGTAATCTCCTGTCTGTCCATGAAGCTGATCTATTGTGCTCCATTTATTTATTTATTTTTATCTATTGATTGGAGACTACTAGAATGACTTTGCATGATTCCCAGTTTCAAAAAAATCATCATTATTTCAGTTGGTGCAGCCCATCAGTTTAGCTGCTATCACAAGCCCGCTTTCTTATGATTGGCTGCCCCTCACAAAAAGGTTTAAACAGCACTCGCACCAACTGCAAAGCAAAGTTTAGGTTTAATTGCTCCTGTGAAGTCTGCTTTGTTGGAAACCTGAAAATATTTGCCCCTGACAGCCACCAGGACAAAAAGGGAGTACAACTGGTAACTGTCTAGTTACCTTGACATTTTGGCTGTTGGTGGCGTCAGAAGAGAATCTGCAGCCCATAGGAAAATCCCAGCTGATGGTTTTTCGTAACACAGGCCAGAGAGAATTTTTCACCAGAGCTAAATGTGTTTTAACTTGTGCTATCCTAGAGTTACCTGTATGGCCAACAGCTGTGCAAATTTATTTCAGTTTGCCTCGTTGTATAGACTTTTTCATATAGTCACGCCAAGCTAAAACTGCTTGGGAACATCTCTCTATTACATCACAAAGGGCTGAGAAACTGTCTGAAGCCTGAACCTTTGCCTTGAAGGGAATACTTCAATTTAATCTGACCTAATTGTTTCAAGCTTTGACCATGTCTAATAGACCATCATAGTCAAACATGGTCAAGAGAACCTTCTGAAGTTCAAATGGAACATCAGAACAGGGAAGAAAAAAGTGTCTTTGAGCATGCCATTATTGTTGGTGCCACATGGGCTGCTCTGAGTATTTCAGAAACTGCTGGGAAAATCCAGTGAGCAGCAGTTCTCTGGGTGAAAATGTCTTGTTGACATCAGAGGAGAATGGCCGGCAACTCAAATTACCACCAAGGTATACAGAAGAGCATCTCTGAACACACAACATGTCCAGCTTTGAAGCAGATGTGCTACAGCAGCAGAAGACCACAACTGGTGCTACTCCTGTCACCTAGGAACAAGGAACTGAGGTTATAATTCACACAGTCTCGCTAAAATTGGACAATAGATGTTGCCTGGTCTGATGAGTCACAATTTCTGCTGTAATATTTGGATGGCAAGTTCAGACGCCAACTACATGAAACTACATGAAATCACGGCTCCATCCTGCCTCGTATCAACGCTTCAGACTGGTGGGTCTAATGGTGTGGAGGAAACTTTCTTGACACACTTTTTGCCGTGAGGTGGTACAACGTACCTGAGTATAGTTCCCGACCATATTCATTCCTTTATGACCACAGTGTACCCATCTTCTGATGGCTCCTTCCAGTAGGACAGTGCATCATGTCACAAAACTCCAATCTGGTTTCACATGACAATGAGTTCACTGTGCTCAAATGGCCTCCACAGTCACCAGAACTCTTTCCAGTAGAGCACCTTTGGGATGTAACAGAACGGGAGCTTCTAGTTATAAACGTGCAGGCAATCAAGCTCCACTAACTTTGATGTCAATATGCCAGTATGGACCAAAATCTCTGAAAAGTGTATATTTATAAGAAAATAGAAAAAAACTGAATATATCCCCTTTGATAGAAAAAAGAAAGCTTTGTACACCTGAATGACATGAACTGTAATAGTGTCAGTAGTAGTTTTCCTCCTGCAAAGCATCAATAGCATTACACAATGATGATTTGCAGGTGGAATTTCCCCATAGAAGTTGCCTTGAAAGCATTAAGGGAATACATACATAATAATGCATTTGATTCTTGAATATCTTGCATTTTGATACACAAGCTTAAGTGTAAGTGTGATTTCCAGACTGAGCTCACGTCACCATCCGCTGTGAATATTTAATTAGACCAATGTAAACTCCAAGCTGCATTGCGGCAACCGTTCGACAGTGGGGTTACCATTTGTTATAAAAACAAATATGATAGTTCCACTGGTCACGTTTGAACGCATAACTTACAGCCAGAAGGGACACGTTTACAGAGCCCGGAGAAGGAAGGAGTGTGTCATTTTTCCTCATGCAAAGGATTACAGAGTCAATGCATGACGGATTCTTAGGGGCAGCCTGTAATCTTGTCTGGATGGTATGTAGCATGTTGTGTTTTGTCTGAGAGCAGTGATGTCAGCAACAAAATAAAGTGGTCCCCAAACCCACTGCTATAGTGTTTCCTGTAACACTTTGATACAACTCATAGACAGGTGACTTCAGACTTGGCTGCCCACGCTGGCCCACTGAAGGTCACTGATGCTCACTGTTGAGTCTTATAAAAAAAAAAAATCTCAGAAACTACTGTGGTTGATTTCCCATTAAAGCTCAGCCTGACAATCAGCAAACGATCAAGTTATTTTAGTTTGTGAAGAAAAGTATTAATCCACCTTTAAAAAATACATATATCTTACGTTTTTATTTACAAATGCTGTAGGTCTGGTTAACTCACTTGAACACTTCTTTGTTGAAGTGACTATCCCAATGGGATGGGAGGAAGGAATCGGGAGAATCCCACTTTATAAAGCAAACCAGTAGGCTGTGATATTCCTCGTGAGGTTGTCGGGTGCTCGCTAGTGGCAGAGCACGCGCACTGCATTTCATTCGGAGTCCGCAGACTGAATGAAGAATCCGCAGCTTCGACACTGTCCTGTGAGAAAGTAGCGGTTCGTCTACGGGAATCGTCGTGGAATATTTAGTTCTGTTTTGATTCCTCAGGTTCAAAGGGTTAACATCGCGAGGGCTGGCGAAGTGTCGAACAAGTGACTATAAAGGACAACAATACACAACAAACCGCAGCCCTCCAGACTGAGTGGAGCCAGCAACTTGTGAGACGTTCCAGAGCCGCAGCACGACCACCGTAAGACGTCCAGCTTCAATCACTTAAACATCAAAAGCAGAAAAGAATAAATGGAAACGTTTCACTTTCATTTCTTATACGTTTTTAGCTGCCGGCGTATCATTTAACGTTATATTTTCGATATTCGGGTCGCAAATGTCAAGATGGAGAAAAGTTAGCTCACTTGGAACAATCTGACCTATACTCAAGAAAAGTGACCTGATTTTTTTTTTTTTTTAGAAAAGTAAGCGATTGTGGGTCATGCTTAGTGGTACATTAAAAGCTGTTTAAAACTAGTGTTAATGTTTAGTGTCTTCGCAGTAAGAAACTAAATCCTCACGGACATTAACGCCAAAGCGAGCACTAGTTTGTTGGGACAGCGGAGCGATATTTACTCCGCCTTCCCAGACTATTTCACTCCAGAATCTGGAGGACATGGCACGGAGAGACGGAACGAAGGGGCTCTGAAAACGAAAGAAATGTATACAAAAGTTGGGATTACGGGCTAAATGTTTGCAAGAAAGATCACTGGCATGATTCGTACGCATTGTTGAAAGGTATGTGGTTATTTAACGGTTGAAATAAGAGAGTAGACTTGAACTCCAGGGAGCTACATCAGCAGGACACAGAGAGGCTCGGCGCTCCGTTCCCCTCGGAGAGCTTGGCTAACAGCTAACATAGCTTAGCTTCAGTTGTGAGAAGTTCAAAAAGTTTCTGGAATGGAGGAAGAGGAGGAAGGCTGAAGTCAACGTTGTCAAACTACTAAGAGGCTGAATACGATGACTCCCCAAGTTATACTTGATGATAAAACGATTATGGTAGACTCTTATGTAGATGGTTGTTATGAGGTGTTTAATTAAAAACTTCACGCTAAACAAGATGTGTTCTGTGAAAGCAAGCTAAGCTAGTTAGCAAAATCTCGATGCTACTTACATCAAGTTGCTACATACCAGAGTTAGCTAATGCCAGTGGGATATTATATTATATTGTGACCGTGTGTATTTTCGTGGAGCACTTGGAGCAGTACTAAAAGCTATTTTTATTGCTGTTTCTGGGGTCTGTGTATAATTAGATGCGTCTTTCTGAATGCCTTTTCTCTCTTTCTCTGGTTGGGGGGGGGTACTGAATCGTCCTTCCATATTGTCTGTTCCGTGTTACTTCATGTTTGACAAGCGTTAAAGACGGATTACACGCTGTTAAACAAAGTAGTGTTGTCAGGTTTTCCAGTTTTTTGGAGGTTTTTTTTTGTCTTTTTGTTTTGCTTGCTGTGTGCGTTTTATGTAGACATCTTTTAAACGGGATTAAAGGAATTTCTCAGGCGTGTAATCCAGAGCAGCCCAAACTGATGAATATCTATCAACGATTTGAGAAGCTTCTGGGGTGCACTTCCTATTATTAAAGTACATCTCATTGTTTCCCGCCATGCTTGGAGATGGTATTTTTTAAAATGTTGTATCCATGTACATATGTGTATATGCATTTTCTTAATGCATCTATGACTTATATATTTTCTGTGATTCATAAAGAGTTTTCCCTGGGTCATAGTGGGATTTTGACGATTTTACTACCGGTTTAAACACGACTGATCCGCAAGTCTTAACCTTTGGTTGTTATATTAGGCTATTTAAAAAAGGTATTTTATGCTTGGGGAAATGAAACTCGACTTGGGAACAACTAGTTAAGAAATCCCAGTGGTGTGGTGTTGTAGTGTTTTGTTTTGTGTTTTTGCCCTTTAATAGTTTTTATATATCTGGCAAGCAATCCCTGTCATACTAAATTGGTTCCACAAAGAGTAAACTCATGGTCATTTTTGTAAGAATGTAAGCCACCTTTACTGAGGGTTAACAAATAAGTACTTGTCAAAATGCGATGTTGTAAAATACATAGCACCCTAACTGATAGTGGGTAGTATTTTTAGGGTGTTTAAAAAAAAGGGGGGGGGGGGGATCTTGGCGTAGATGTATTTGTTGCTATTCTTCTCACGCACGCACATGGAACTAGTTGTAATAAAAATGGAAACCGATGGTGTTGTTATTAACATGCCAGTACTGTAAACTACAGATAAATCTGTGATAGGCCAATATCAGCCCACTGATATCTGTCTGAATCTGGTTAAACATACTTTAGTCGAGACTGATTTGACACAGAGAATAAGCTATCGTCGTGAACTGTTTGTCTTTTGAAAAGCTCAGCTTTATCTGAAGGATTGGCATGAGAAATCTTATTTAATGTAGTCTTTGTAGCTACAGTGTGTTTATCCACAAGTTTGGATGTGTAACTTGATTACTTGTCTTTACCAACTGAACCATGAACTTGTGTGTCACTTGGAATCTGAAAAAGGCCTATCCACATGTAGGAAGAACTGCTTTAATGTGGCCTGGTGACTTCCAGAAAAGCTCCCAACATTTACATGTTGATATGGGTTTTTTTTTCGGTGTGTGTGTGTCCTGCTTTAGGATGTTTCTCTCTGCTTTCATGTGTGTGGAGAACAATGAGTAATGGGAGTGAGTGCAGTGCTGTTGGACAGCTGTTAGCTGGAAGGGAGGGATTGGGCAGAGATGGGATGAGGGAGGAAGCAGCTCTTTGTGGTTACATCCTTTTTGACTAAGGCCAGTTTCACAGCCCAAACAGCTGCTGCTGCAGGCTGCATGTGTTGACCCTCTGTCTGCTCTGTCTGTATGAAGGGGATTGAAGTGTTATATGTCATAATTGCCCGAACTCCCCAACATCTCTAGAGCAGTCTGAGACAAAGGTATCTTGGTGCAGTGCATCAGTAGTGAGGGGTAATCAGCAACTCTTAGTTTTACTTTTTTTTTTTTTTTTTTTTTCCTTTCCCAGTGCAAATACTGAAGAGAGGTCAGTATTTTGTCTCAACTGTCATGTTATTTATTTGAAAAGTAGTTCAAAAATTGGCTGAGACTTCACTAGGCAAAAAACAGATTTTCTTTTATTTATTTTTTTTAAAGTAGATTCTCCACATGCTGCCTTAAGAGTTTTTCCCTTATGTGGCATAACTTGTACCAGTCAGTTCAGCAATCATTGTTAGTCCGACTGTAGCATCTATTCTGCTCTTTCCTCTGCCAGTGTGATCACAGCTGTGTGTCTGCCTCTAAGCATGAGTCCACCAAAAGCAGAATGTCCTGAAACTTGAAGAGGTGGCACTTTAAAAAGAGCTCATTAAATTTTGGTCCCGATCCAAACTGCTTTCCTTATTTTGTTTAAATGGGGAGTTGGCCTTGAGCACTCTGTAGCTGCCTTTCTGCAGAATTGCTTGTTGTGTGACAAATGATCATGTTAGATGCATTTTAGGCCATATGGCTGTTAAGTGTTTTCCATGTGCATGATTGATCTCGAGTTTGAGATGGAACGCGTTTCACATAACTGAGTCATCTAAGTAGTGATGGTGGCGTTTCTGTGGAAATGTGTCAGATCAAAAATAGCACAAAGGGTTTTCTTGAATTCCCAAACCCCCACCCCATGGATCGAGAATAGTGCTTCTCTAAGTGGGTTGCCATAAAGACTGTTTCATGTCATTAAACAAAAAACTGTAACAGTTGCTATAAAAATGTTTAGAAAGGCTTGCTTGTTCATCTAGATAACAGTAATTTCAAACTTTACATGTGTTCTTGATCTTTCTCTGATCTTTTGTGTTTTGCAGAAGGCTGACAGAGGAAACCCTGACTGTGGGCAATTTGAATGAAGTTAGCCAAAAGAGCATTGGTAGTTCTCAAGAAATGAGCACGTCCTTATAAGACGTGTGTCAGACTTGCACCAGTGAGGCCTGCTGCAGTGTATCAGTTCAACATAAGTCCTGATTTGAGCTCCTACAGACTACACCCCCCCCTCTCCATCAGTGGTAGTGACCCAACTCCGGACAGCTTGCTGGAGGGCCCTTCCTGAGCAGCAGCAGCTGCGTCCTGCTTGCTCACTCCTGGCCCTCCCCTGCTTCCTGTCCTTGGTCAGACAAGGCTAAAATCTCCTCTCCCCTCACCCCACCCCTCATCGGTGTTGGCTTTTCATACTTGCACACTTATATTACCCTCTCAAGCAACTTCTTTTGTTGATCACACGCTCACAGACTGTGTTGGGTTAATAACGTTCTTTGGAGATTACCTGCTGACTGATTTTTGGCCCCCTTGCATAGGCCCAGTGTCATCGCGAAGGAAAGTTCCTCTCTTTTACCTGCACTACAACTTGCAGAATGACTTCCATGTCTAGTTTGTTCTCCTTCACAAGTCCGACAGTCAGGCGCCTGCTCGGCTGGAAACAGGGAGACGAGGAAGAGAAATGGGCAGAAAAGGCAGTTGATGCACTTGTGAAAAAGTTGAAGAAGAAGAAGGGTGCCATGGAAGACCTGGAGAAAGCGCTGAGCTGCCCTGGACAGCCCAGCAAGTGTGTTACCATTCCAAGATCACTGGACGGCCGGCTGCAGGTTTCCCACAGGAAGGGTCTTCCTCATGTTATCTACTGCAGAGTGTGGCGCTGGCCGGATCTACAGTCCCACCATGAGCTCAAGCCTCTGGACATTTGCGAGTATCCGTTTGGCTCCAAACAGAAGGAGGTGTGCATAAACCCATATCACTACAAGAGAGTGGAGAGCCCTGGTATGTAATTTTTCTCACCTTAAACAGGTTCTGTTTAATCAACCTTAGCTTTTATATTTAAACAGACATGTAATGTTAATGGTTGTTGTATATACGATTAAATCTGTGTTCTGTGAGGCATAGTCATCACATAATTGGTTTATTTGCAGTGTTTCTAACATTTCTAGCCTATTGTTTCGTTTTGCTTTTTGCCTTTTAACTTTCAAATACAAGATGGATTAAAGCAATTTAGAACTGTGCACATCTCTCAGTAAACTGTAGAGCTGGTAAACAAATCTACAAAGGTCAGGAGGCTGTCATCACACAGGCCTTTTCTGCCCGCCCCCTCCATTTCACAGAAAATCAATATCACTAGCTCTGGGAGTCTTATTAGATTATATGCCTCAGGCATTCCAGATTGGGTGTGGCATCAGAAAGCAGTGTACTAAACGCATAAACCACTCAGACTAAACTCCCAGCACTTTCACATCACTTAACCCCCCCTTCCCCCTTTTCTCCCACACCCCATCATATACACTTACACACCCATGGATGACCCTAAAGATACAGGCTTTCTGATACTACACTGGTTCAGGATTGCAAGGTCTGTATTGACCGGTTCAAAGATGCAGATCACTTGTCGGTGAGAAGACTATATTTCAGCCTTGGAGCCTGGACTCTTAAAAAGGATTGAAGGTTTCCCTTTGCAAGATATTACTCTGACTTTAAGGGTAAAATTAGATGTGAAGGACATCTTGTTCTTATGTATCAAGAGCTAAAAATAACATTTCAAGACTCACTGTTGTTGTTCAGTCATCTCTATTTCAACATACAGGTTGGAATTCCTTCAGTTATTTTTGATAGTAGCATTATTAAAATCATATTAAAATACTGTAATAACGATCTCAGCATATACAGTGTTCTACACATTAGGTATTTTCAGCCTCTACAAGATTAATCTATGCTGCTTTCTGGTTTTAATTATTTTCATGTAAATTTTAATTGTTTTGGGCTTGCCCTACTCCTTAAAAACTTAGTTTTCATGAATTGTGAATTCCACATGGTGATACATCATGTGTGCAGTTTCTCACTTGTTTAATTCATTTTTCTTCTTCCATCCAGTGCTTCCTCCTGTCCTGGTACCACGGCACAGCGAGTTCAACCCACAGCACAGCTTGCTGGTACAGTTCCGTAACCTCACCCACAACGAGCCACACATGCCCCTGAATGCCACCTATCCAGAGTCCTTCCAACAGCCGCACAATGGGGGTGGCAGCAGTGGAGGAGGTGGAGGTGGCGGCAGCTCTTTTTCCATTTCTCCCAACTCTCCATATCCTCCTTCTCCAGCCAGCTCTGGTACTTATCCAAACTCTCCTGCCAGTTCGGGGCCCTCAAGTCCATTCCAACTCCCAGGTACACCAAATACACTCCTCCACCTAACCCTGGGAAAGTTGCCAAACCATTGTTTTTTCTGAATTGTCACTGTCATGTAGCCAACAAATGTCTGACTTTTGATAAACACTGGTCTCTCAGGATTTCTGTTTTTCAAGTTGCATAATGCAAGGGGGGGGGAGGAGTCTGTTTACAGTTGTATGGTGAAAAAACAAATGATGTAGCCAGGCGAATCCAGTTCCATCCACCAGCACTGATGCTCTTAGTCTAGACCAGTGGTTCTTAACCTGGGTTCGATCGAACCCTAGGGGTTCGGTGAGTCGGTCTCAGGGGTTCGGCAGACCCTCCACCGTGACATGCACCGCTCATTTTGTGCACCAATAAAAAACATATCTATGTCTTGAATTTGAAAAAAAATCATATTTTATTTTTCACTAAAGAGGGGTTCAGTGAATGCGCATATGAAACTGGTGGGGTTCGGTACCTCCAACAAGGTTAAGAACCACTGGTCTAGACTCTGCTTCACTCCAGATCTGCTGACACATCCAGTGATTTAAGGCAGTCTGGCAAAAAGGGGTGGTTTTTGTTTTGTTTTTAAATTGTTTGTTTTTTGTTTTTAACAGCAATTTAGGATTTAAGTTATTTATCCTGCAAAGCTTTGGTTGGCTTTTTGAATGCTGACAAGCATCATGATCCACTGAAATGTCCTTGTTGCAGTTTTAAGTAGATGTTTTGTTTCCTGTATGCCTCACTAAGGGCTTGAAAAGCTCATGTTGCATCTGTCGGGAATGGGTTAGCATGTGGCTTAGCAAATGAGGGATGTGTGTAATCTGACACCATTTCCGGGGTACAGATCTTGTCATGATTGTTCTAAGGAGTGTCTAAGGGGATTTTGTGTGCGTAAGAGAGAGAGAGTACATTTGTCAGCAGCAGCAACTGGTCCCACTAATGTCTCTCTTAATGTCTCAGCTGACACCCCACCACCAGCCTACATGCCCCCTGATGAGCCGATCGGCCAGGAGCCCCAGTCCATGGAAACGAACAGCAGCCTGGTACCGCAGAGCATTGCCAGAGGTGGTGAGATGTGCTCACAGTTATACTGACAGTAGCAAAAATATACCAAACCTGTTGGTATATCTCAGCTTCATGTATAAGTTTCCTTTCCTCTTTAACTAGCTGTTAAATTATGAACAGAGTTTAATTTACAAAGGTCTTGTTTCTTCCTCATTTTTTTTTCTCTTCAAATCCAAGTAGTGCTGTCTCCGTTTTAGTTTATGGGACACTTTTTACACAATCTTCCATTAAACCTGGTTTATATCTTTCAGTTGTAGTGGTTAAGTTAACCCATTTGTCAAATGTGTGAAAGTTCTCGTGTTTGAGACCCAGATAAGTCTCTAGGAGGGTTATGTGAGGTTGGGCAGCTGCGGTACGACTCTACTAAATCAAACGTTTTGTCCAATGTGCTGTCATGACCCCCTATTTATAAGCTATTATGCTTAAACCTAAACATAACAGTTTCAAGTCCTTTGACTCATTTAACAGAACACTCTTATTGGATAAGTGCGAAGCAGCTCTCTGTTACATTCATGGTTATATTTAGGAAAAGATGTTTTAATATCACTTGGACTATTGACTCTGTCAGTGTTTTTCTGTGCCCACATTTAAAAGGTGTTTTGACAACCTTTTTAAGCTGATATGCAGGGCTTTGACATTTTTCAGGCCCTTGCCAAAAACAGTTCACACATTACTGAGATTTACCTGGTGCTTGTAAATCTCTGTATAACAACATTTTACTGAAGCACAAGTATCGCTACACTTCATGTCTACCAGCAGTATTTGGTTTATGAGAGCTGAAGTCGGGAGTGAGTCTATGTAGGTTGACTAAATTAGAGCCTCTATGGAGCATCACATCATTGTACTACAGAAATAAGAAAGATGTGACAGCTTTGGATTTATTTAAACTTGCATGATCTCTGACCAGACTGTTGGTGTAGACCATATGTTAGGACTGGTCTTTTAGAGCTAGTTGAGGTAACCTCATTGAATGTAGTTTTACATGAGTTGGGTTAACAGAGCTTTGCTCCTGGTTACTTTTCCTCTTTAACCGTAATAATTAATAAATCTCGTAGTTTATTTAACCACGCAGTCGTGTACTGTCTGGATTGTCTGAATTCATTTCAAATCCATGTTCAACATCTGTTGATCTTACCTATTGTTTGCAGATGTGCAGCCAGTGGAGTATGAGGAGCCCAGTCACTGGTGCTCTATTGTCTACTATGAACTTAACAATCGTGTCGGAGAGGCTTACCACGCTTCATCCACCAGTGTGCTCGTGGATGGCTTCACTGACCCCTCAAACAACAAAAACCGCTTCTGCCTCGGACTGCTGTCCAACGTCAACCGCAACTCCACAATCGAGAACACCCGCAGACACATTGGCAAAGGTATGACTAATAACCCCAGTAAGAGTAGGAAATAAGGAAATGATGGTGATTAAATGTTCTTACACTTTTGTTTGTCATCCAGGAGTGCACCTGTACTATGTGGGAGGGGAGGTGTATGCAGAGTGCCTCAGCGACACCAGCATTTTTGTTCAGAGTCGTAACTGTAATTACCACCACGGCTTCCACCCTACCACTGTGTGCAAGATCCCCAGTGGATGTAGCCTGAAGATTTTCAACAACCAAGAGTTTGCTCAACTTCTGGCTCAGTCGGTTAACCATGGCTTTGAGGCCGTCTATGAGCTTACCAAGATGTGTACAATTAGGATGAGCTTTGTCAAGGTAAGGGTTTCATGCTGTACACAAGTCGAATGAAGACGTTCTCGGTAATTTCTTGATTCCTCACTAATTGTGAGTCAGACCACAAGCACTTCAAAACCTGACTTTCTTTTTGCTATAAGAAAGTCAGAAAAACAGCCTACCAAAGTACTCCAAGAAGTACACCTATTTGGTAGTTTCTGTTACAGTAGATTTCTCTAGTCATGATGAGACACACACACACACACACGGTGAAAACAATACCAGCCACACTTTTGCTTGATTTAATAAGTGCAAACATCATCAGTCACTGTCATTGTGTAATATGGTGTACCTTTAGTTTTTTTTTTTTGTGTTTTCCCTCCACAGGGCTGGGGAGCAGAGTATCATCGACAGGATGTCACCAGCACCCCCTGCTGGATCGAAGTGCACCTGCACGGGCCGCTTCAGTGGCTAGACAAAGTGCTGACACAAATGGGTTCTCCTCTCAACCCAATCTCTTCTGTGTCCTAATACTGGACTTGTGAGAGCCTGGGAGACCCGTTATGAAAATCACCCCCCTCGCCCCCAAAACCCCTCAATGATTTCTAATTTAAAACAGTCTTAATGGCTGAACTGTTTACACTTACTTTGGGAAGGGATTGGCTAATAATTCAACAGCACCTGCAGCCAGCATCCAGTTGTTGAAATGGCATCAATGTTGCAAGAAAATACCTGGAGAAAGATGAGAATATGCCCAAGTAGCAGTGACGACATGGACACACTACTGCTTGACAATGCTACAATACCTACAAGAACTGAGGGCTCCATTGTCAAGCTTGAATCTGTCAAATGTTAATTTTTTTTTGCATCAAGTTTTATTGTTTGACGAATAACTTTTTGTTTCTCCATATGTGTAGTTTTTAATGAAGCGGAACTGTTTCACTACTCTGCCTTGTGTCTGACAATTTGAAATTTTACAAAACACTTTTCTTACATTGTCTCAATGTCAAATATTTACAATAAAGATATAGACATGACTATGTTTACCATTAGACTCAGATATAACATGCTTTCTTTTTATAGTCTCTACTGCTAGAATTGAACACTGAGCTACTGCCTTTTAAGAAAGTTATGTATGCCAACCTGATAGTTTTTGATATGGGAGATCAATCACTGAACAAGTTTAACATGCCATAAGCTAACAACATTGTGAATGTTACATCTATCGTAATAGAAGTAGTCATATATGATATAATCAGAAAGTGGACGCCATCATTATTGATTCTTGTTTGTACTCTCGTGTTCAAGTAAGAGTGGCTGTATTTTCCATACTCACTGTATTAACAATATTGTGCACTCATGAATTTTATGGAGGCATGTTGGATGGGTTTGGCGTGGGTACCAAGGCATTATGTTGATAAATAATTTGACCTCCTTTGCTCAATGAAATAAAGGGGTTGTCTGGTAACGGAATAATTTTAGTTTTGTACTTTTAAGTGTTTTTGTTTTTAAATTTTTGACTTTTGGCTCAGTCGCGTAGACGATAACCTCAGTGTGCAACAATCTCCTGCTTGTGTTGGACAAAGGCATTTCCTGTGAATTTTTATTTTATTTTCCTCTTGTTTTTCTTTTTGTTTTAAGTAAAAATACTGTTTCTATTTCTTTCTTTTTTTCTAAAGTCAAGTTTTTATTTTTACTTCAGGTAACAAAAATGTCTTTAAGTTACCAGTTGATAACAGCGATAGCTTATTGTTCTGTGCTTACGTCTGGTCTTGGCAAATTGGCGACAATCAGTCAAAACATACGTGAGCAGATGGATTCACCGTACACAGTGGTTTGTTCTGATAATGAAAACTGATGACACACCATCCAGCTTTCTCCATGGAATCATTCTATCTATGGCTGATTGCTTTGAATAGCCTTTATTAGATGTAAAGGGTTGTGAAATACACTGTCACCGTGGTAAACTCATAAAGGACAGTGAATTGTAATGACTGAAAGATTAAGTACACAAAGTCCACAGCTTATTTCTGTTTACAGTACGGCTTAGTGTCAATAAATCTGTTATACAAGAATAGCATTCTTTTTGCTTTCCATGAGGTTAGACCCTTAGACCCCCGGAGAGCAGTCATTTTGGTTTTCTACCTTAGACCCCCGCGGAGTCATCATTTTGCGTTTCTACCTTTAAAAGCCGGAGAGCAGTCAGTCAAATGCTGGAGTCATTCATATGTATATTAGGTCGTTACCTAGGAATTCTGGAGGGAGGGGAGTGGGGGTGAGTGATTGAGGGGGTGGGGGAGTGGAGTGTTTCAGTTTGCCATCTTAGGGAGAAATCAACACATGTCCTTTGTTGCTGACATTTATTGATGAAAACAGTACAAAAAACCAACCATTTGTACACATATTTACAAATAATGATAAAAAGTGAGTACATTTCAACATTTTCAGCAATCACTCACAATCCTAATGGCATTTATTGCAATTGTGATCTTGCGGGGGGTTTGCAGGCTTCCATCTGTAAATGACTGCTGGTCAGCAAACCTGGGAAACCCACAGATAATTGGAATTATGGCACGAAACCGCTTCCAAAACATCATGCAACACCTACGCTTTGATGACAAGTCCACCCGCTGTGATCGAGCAAAGACTGACAAGTTTGCTGCAATTTCCAGTGTGTGGGGATCATTTGTCACCAACTGCATCACGTGCTACAACCCTGGTCTACATATCACCATTGATAAACAGCTTTTCCCATCAAAGACTCGGTGCTGTTTCCTGCAGTATATTGCAAGTAAACCTGACAAGTTTGGGATCAAGTTTTGGGTGGCTTGCGACCTAAAATCCAAGTACATTTGCAATGTCTTCCCATATCTTGGCAAGGACCCCAGTCGTCCCACTGGGGAGAGACTTTCTGAAAATGTAGTAATGAGGCTGATGGAACCATTCCTAGACAAGGGCAGAAATGTTACCACGGACAATTTTTTCACATCGCTTTCACTGGCACAAAAACTTCTTAGACGGAAAACCACCATCCTCGGCACAGTCAACAAGATTCGCAGGGAAATTCCTCAATCCACTAGACAGACAGATCGCAATGTATTCACCACTCAGGTATGTTGCAGGTCTTTTGTGGTTCTATGTTTATGTGTTTCATTGTGTGTAAAAGGGCTATGAAAATAACAATTTATCTTATTTCTTAGGTGTTTTCAACCTCTGCTGCCACGCTGACGGCGTATGCGGCCAAACGGAAGAAGACAGTCTATATTCTTAGCAGCATGCACAGCGTGGTTCAGACTGATAACACCACCAAAAGGAAGCCAAACACTGTCACCCTTTACAACAAAACAAAGTGTGGCGTGGATGTGATGGACCAGATGGTTCGGGAGTACACTGTCCGCAAAGGAACACGGCGCTGGCCAGTCGCCGTGTCTTATAACATGATTGACATGGCAGCACTGAATGCACATGTGCTGTATCAAGCATGCACCGGGACGAAGGAAAGACGGGTGGACTTCCTGGTGGCGCTTGCAACAGAGTTGGCTCACTCTCATGTAGCTGCGAAGAAGGCAAAAAAAGATCAGTTGCTTCGGGCAGAACCCTCCACACCTAGCCCTGGAAAAAGAGCCACGTGTCAGGTCAAACACAAATGCAAGAAAAATCAGGCCACTGTGCGATGTGTTCACTGCAAAAGATACACATGTGGTAAATGCAGACTACAGGTACCATGGCAGTGCCAGGATTGTGAGTGATTGCTGACAATGTTGAATTATTTGTAAATATGTGTACAAATGGTTGGTTTTTTGTACTGTTTTTATCAATAAATGTCAGCAACAAAGGACATACACCCATGTGTGTTGATTTCTCCCCAAGATGGCAAACTGAAACACTCCACTCCCCTCCCTCCAGAATTCCTACTTAACAGCCTAATATACATATGAATGACTAGCCAATTTAGCTTCCACTGCCACCATTTGACTGCTCTCCGGGTTTTATAGGTAGAAAGGTAGAAGCCTGGGGATGCTAGTGTTTTAAAGCACTTGTTGGCTGAAATGGAGAACTTAAAAAATGTTGAAATGTTTGTTGATATTTCTGTATTTCATGCAGCATGTCTCAATAAGGACAGCATGCAGGATTCCTTCATATTCATGAGGTAGGTACACGCAGAACCTTTAGAAACAATTCAAGTTAAAGGAAATTTTTCAATAAATCTTTCAGGAAGCTTTATTCAAATCTATAATCAGCTCTGAATAACAACATAGCACAAATATTTTTCACCTATGTGTGTGTGTGTATACGTGTCTACCTGAGCTTATAAATAAACAAAAATAGGCACAATGAGTACAGGAGGTTACAGAATAGCAAGTTGCCCTTTTTACAGTTTTTCACCGCCAGACCTGAAGCGTTAACCAATGACGCATCAGCCAGTCAACTTCCTATTGGTCCACGTTTCTATTTACCGTAAATATCCTAAAAGGTGCGTCGCTTAACAATACAGTAGAGTGAAACAAACCGCACCTACAAACACTGTTACGCGATATAGGGGTCAAACACTAATATTAAGTCGTGACTAAATACTGTAAATTAAGCGTCCCTCTATCTGCTTTTTATAGCGATTACCGGACATAAGAACACAAGCATGTCGTGAGACACACAAATTGGTCTTGCGTCAAAATAATTTTACCAACCGGATGTGAGGTGGCTTCTAGTGAGCAAGCCAAAGATAAACACGTATACAGGCAGAAAGGGGTGAGGATAATAAATATTACAGGGAGGGTGTTGTGAAAGAGCTGAAATGGAGTAGTTGCTCATAATATACAGTTCAAGTAGGCAGGGATACATCCGACAAAGGTACTAAGGAGAAAGTCTACCACAGACATCGAGTAGGTGAGTCCCGCAGAGTAGTGACAGCTGCAACGGTAGCAGCTAGCAGGCTAACGCTAGCTAAAACTGGCTAACTAACACAGTTAACTGTTTGACAGTCTGTGGAGCAGATAACATTATTAACCCAGACAATCGTATCTTCGGGTATTTGGATAATGTGTAGCTTCTTTATATTTGTGGTTTTAGCATTTAATATTTCTTGAAAACCTAGCAGGTCAGTCGGCTTTCAGACTTCATTGGCCCATTAGCTTTAAAAACAGTAAGCTACTTAGCATCTGTATACGTGGTTTTGTTTGATTTTTCTGAAGAGGGAGTGTAGCTGTTGTTTAACTAGCTTTACTATAAGTTATTCCTGATAATTGTAGTGGTCAGCTTCAAAACTTCAAAAGCATCATTGATGTTTAAATATAAAACGTTTCTGTATTTTTTTGGTTTAACAGCACAACTATATTTCACTATGAGTGCCAAAACCTTTTGACCATATACCCTCATAAAGTCTACCTAATACATTTTATTTTAAAAGTCGTTATCTAAGTAAAACGAACATGGCATAAAGACGCCCCTCCCCCCCAAGCATATCACTTTTATTTGCGTTCTGCTTTAGTGTATTTGTCAACTTTCACAAGCATTAACCTGTTCTTCCATTCCTTCTCCATCTGTTTTCCCTCCACAGCATCCAAGGCCAAAATGGTGCGAGCAGCCTTAGTGACTGTCACCAGTCTGGCGTTGACTGGGGCCGTTGTGGCACATGCTTATTTACTCAAACACCAGTTTTACCCGACTGTAGTTTACCTCACCAAGAGCAGTCCCAGCATGGCGGTAAGATTGGAAATGAAGTCAAATGTTCCATGTTTTGTTTTGTTTTTTCTGTAAATTCTTTAAATTTTCCTTTCTCTCCTGGTATCAGGTGTTGTACATCCAGGCATTTGTGCTTGTGTTTCTGCTGGGAAAGTTTATGAGGAAGGTCTTTTTTGGTCAGTTGAGAGCTGCAGAAATGGAGGTAGAGATATCTTTTATGTTCAGTTGATTCATCGTGACGTATTTAATTTAGAATTTATTGCACGGTCTCTATAATACTGCTGAGACTCTTTTGTTCATATGCATTTGAACATTCTTTTCTGGCTACCCCCAGCATCTCATCGAACGCTCGTGGTACGCTGTGACCGAGACGTGCCTGGCTTTCACTGTGTTCAGGGATGATTTCTCTCCTCGCTTCGTCGCCCTCTTTACCCTCCTCCTGTTCCTTAAGTGCTTTCACTGGCTGGCTGAGGATCGAGTGGACTTTGTGAGTGATGAATGAGAAAGCGCTTCCTTGTCTCACACAATGCACATAAAACACACTCCAGTGCATCTGTGTACAGGACATTGCTCAAAGGTAGAAAGGAAGTGTGGGACACCGGGTGGAACAGATGGTGTGTGGTTAAGGGTGTGGAGTATTGATGTCATTGTTATTGGAGATTTTATAACTGATGATTTTATTAGAAATTAAACATAAAGAGCCTTTAGCATGTTGTAAATTAGATGACTTGTAATTATATTAAAACTGCCATTTCAAAAAGACCTGTAAGTTGCAGAATGTAAAGCATACAGATTTATACGATACTCTGAATCTTATGTAGCATTTGAGTGTATTTAGCTTTGCATGTGCTAACGGGTCTTTTCAATCCTTTTTCTGTCAGATGGAGCGGAGTCCCAACATATCATGGGTTTTTCACATGAGGGTTTTATGTAAGTAGACATCAGCACAGTGGAATATCATTCATACCTCACTTCTGTGCCGGCTTTCTTTTTGTCTTTCATTTCTCCTTTTGGGCAACTCTGTCTCTTCCACCAATTGAAGTCATAAATCTTTAGCTAAGTGAAACTATATGCAAATGTTTGTACTTGCACTACAGGCCACCTGCACTGGTTTATTTGTAAGGCCAGAACATTACAGTGGATAACAGTAACAAGCCACAGCAGTTTCCTGAACACTGCAAGGGAAGCTGGTCTGTTACAAAAAACCTGCTGTGTTCGTTTCCACCTCTATGTATTTAGTCTCAGATTATATTAAAGTATAACATAAAGAAAATTGATCATATACTGACCTTCATGATGTTTTAGTGCTCAAACGAACTGTTTAGCTTCTTTCCCCTCATCCCTAATTCAGCTTTCTTATTGGCTGGTTAGAGTTGCTGTGTGTCACAGCCACAGT